AATAAGTAGAGTATTGCCGATCCAGCGATGCTAGGCACAAGCTGGTTTGTTTCTATGAATTCAAGCACCATACATCCCATAACACTTCTCTTCCTTGAGACATACAATCCCTTTGGAGCATATTGTTGATTGTTTATTTACACTGACACTTAACACCAATATAAAATCCGTTCAGTTGTAAGAATCACTGAAGTAATGTAAGGATGGTGGGATATGAGGATATAAGATAGGATCAAATTTGATTATGCCGAAGAAAATTTGGGTTACATCATCACAAAGTCAGCACTATTCTGACCGTAGTCTTCACATATATCCTATCCATGCTTGCCCCATGCGTCTAAGGAAGCCAGCATCAAACGACCTACTGCCTCATCACTATTCTGACCATAGTCTTCACATATATCCTATCCATGCTTGCCCCATGCGTCTAAGGAAGCCAGCATCAAACGACCTACTGCCTCATCACTATTCTGACCGAAGTCTACACATATATCCTACCCTTGCTTGCCCCATGTGTCTAAGGAAGCTAGCATCTAACGACCTACTGCCTCATCACTATTCTGACCGTAGTCTTCATATATATCCTATCCATGCTTGCCCCATGCGTCTACGGAAGACCTACTGCCTCATATGACTAGCCTTAATTACATTATGCGATTAATACACGTCACCCATAGAACCTTTCCAAAACCCGCTTTGCTCCTAAAACCGCTGAGTTTATATCGTGGACATGATACAACAATACATGTATACCTACCGAATCTCTCACATTACACAATGACTGCCCGACAGAAACTCGTGCATTGTGCAGCATACTAAAATATCATCATAATCATATACTTTTACTACGTCTAAAAGGGGTTTTATACCTTTTCTATAAGCAACCCGATTGATCTGTCATTGAGACAACACGGTAATGCAATGGTAAATTTGGAACTGACAAATGTTTAATGCAACATGACTATATACTGACAAATTTTTCTAATGTTTAGCATTTGAGATTACTGGGAACCATACATGTATATCCACTTCAGATGTTTTGAAAAAACCTTTCCTTATGTATTATCGATTGCAATAGCTAAGGTTGGTTGAATCTCAAACTGTTCTTTTCAAGTTTTCTGGTTATTTTTGCACAATATCTATAACAGCTGCTGATCATTAATTTGATGACAATGTCGATCAATTTTAAACATAATGCCCTGTTAATTTCATTAACCTATACGCACAGCTAAACATAGCCGACCCGTCGCATATATGGATGCATATTTACACATTCCATCACATTCTAATGTACAAGAGAAGGTTTATGTACAATATGACATAGTGTCGTACATTCATTTCAAAATGTCAATTGTACGAATCGATCCCATATATTAGCAAAACAATATCAAACAGACATATAGTATCTGAAATGAATACATTATAATAAAAGAAGGTTAAGTCTCTTTTGATATCTGATTGTGTGTGTTCATGAGTAAAGAAATCTAGAAATCCAGCACAGCAAACAAATGCAGGTTCCGGTTTCCGGTTCCGGATCCGGATCCCTTCCGGATATAGACTTGCTTGAGATATTTTGATATTTGTGCGCCGGGGTTTGTATAAGTAAGCTGTGGGTTGGTAGCCGTCGTGACATATGAGACATATGAGACATGTATTAGAGGATGTTAGAAATATGTTTGTGATCTTCAGTGTAGATGCATTATGGCTCAACATGAATTGAGCTCGATACCGTCATCGATACCTCTTTCGTTGACGACCGCCTCCTGGGCCTAATGGTAGACCGTCCGCCCGGAGAGCAGAAGGGCTCGATCCCCGGCGGCGTCATACCAAAAGACGTTAAAAGATGGTACTTGTTGTTACCCTGTCTGGCGCTCGGCATTAAGGGGCTAAAACAAAGACTGGTCGGCTCGGAGTCGGTATCCCCTGTGTATATATACGAGTGGACCGCCTCCTAGGCCTAGTGGTAGAGCGTCCGCCCGGAGACCGGAAGGTCCGGAGTTCGATCCCCGGCCGCGTCATACCAAAAGACGTTTAAAGATGGTAATTGGTGTTACCCTGTCTGGCGCTCGGCATTAAGGGGCTAAAACAAGGACTGGTCGGCTCGGAGTCAGTATACTGTGTCTGAATGGGGTATTCATGTTTAACCGCTGCATGGTATCTCAGTGAGCTAGCACTATAAATCGGCATCAGTCCGGACTAGTACAAGCAGCCACACACACACACGTACATGCACGTCGCTATATAAGTGCAATAATCTTGGACGCGACGTTAAACCCCATTTCACCTCACCTCACCTCTTTCGTTGACGTCAGGCAATCAGATTGTGCTTGAGGTATCTTTACCGTGTTAGGTAACGTTCCTTTTCCAAACAAATATGAATATAAAAGTTGAGTAACGATTATATACGTTTTATTGCAAATCCTTGGCCATGCCGGTCTAAAAAACAGCCGACGTTAAAGCAATGGATGATAGGTAGTGTGATGTAACATTATCGACCGTATTAATGTATTGAACAGAAACGCACAAAAACAAAAATATTGAACCGCAAAAGAAACGACACCGTGGATTGGTATATGAGAAACCGTATTTGTCCAAACACTGTAAACAAACTTTGAGACATATCAAAAAGATGAAACTTGGCAAAGCTGATCAACAAGGTCAAATGTTCTTAAAGTGAAACACACCACTAGTCTCTGAGAAAATGGCATCATAAGTCAGTATCCCGTGTGTCCGCCATGTGCAGTGATGACTGATGAATCGATACATAGAATGGATGAGGCGGTTGATGAAGGCCATAGGCACTTGCGCCGACACTCTGAGGAACGCCTGACGCAGTTCAACTGCAGTTGTCGGCCTTGGTCGGACGCCATTCAGCCGTCTTTAAATCTCGCCCCACAGGTGCTAAATGGGATTTAATCGGGACTGACATGGTTCTGATGCAATTCTGCTGGAGGAAGTATCTTCCTGCTCTCGCAGTGTGAGTACGGGCGTTGTCATGCTGAAACTCGTGGTTGCGGCGACGTGTCAAATGAGGTATGGCGTGTGGTCTCAAGACTTGATCAATGTACCGAGCTGCTGTGACGCCATTGCCTCTCCCTGGACCGATTTTCTGGAAGACCACAGGGCCGACCCTCTGCGCAACACCAATTCCACCCCACACCACGATGCTCGGACCACCCCACGAGTCTCTCTCAACATCACAAGCATCCGAATAACGTTCCCCATGGCGTCGCAAGACTCTCTCTCTCTCTCTCTTTCTCTCTCTGCCATCTGCCATCTGCTGTTGAGATACAGTAACGCCTCTCGTCTGAGAAGAGGACTTTTATCCACTGCTGGTGGCGCCAATGCTGGTGGTGTGTCCCGTCGGTGACGTGGTGTCAGAATTAGTCCTCAGTCAGGCCTGTGACAGTGGAGGTGTCTGCTCGTCAATCGTCGACGCACGGTGTCCGCACTAATGTGTTGCTGGTGTGTCCACGTGGTCTGTCGAGCAGTTTCCACAGCAGTAAAAAAGCGATCTTCAAGATGCTGTCGCACAATCTGACGATCCTGACGTCGGGTGGTGACCCTTTGTCTCCCACTACGTGGTCCGTCATCTGTAGTGTTGCCTGGTACCGTTGCTGGAGCCTGTATATGGTCCTTACGTGGACTACTTGCCGGGCGGTTTGTTCAGCTTGCAATCGTGCAAGGGCTTGGTGTCGCTGATTTCTTGTCAATCTTGGCATGTGGTAGCAATTCAATAACAAATAAATGTTACCCGATCTGGGTGGATTTTTATAGGGCAAGAAATGGGGAACGCATTTCAATTTGCACGGAACTCACGTGGATCGGGTTACCATGGCCGTTGCCGTGATGCGTTTGGGCGATCGGTTTTATTGTCATCTGCTTTGGTTTTTATCATCAAATTTCATTTTTCCGGACAAGGTAATGTTAAATTTAAGAAACTTTGACAAAAATTACCCAGATATTTAAATGACAACTATTCATGCGATGTTCCTTGGGGTGACGTTTCTTTTGCGGGTCATGATCGGTATATATGGATTACAACGTGTAACGCATCTATTTGTCCTGCACAGAAGTTTGATTGTCTGCGAAAGATCACATTTCCTTGTTTACATATCCGTGATCAGGATAAAAGTATTGACTTGGTGCACCACACTACAAGGACACATTAACTGTTTTATCCATATAAATCCTCCTGTGATCATAATAATAAACGTATCATTCCATGCACGCCTGTGTGAAACCAGTTTAGCGTTACCATGATACTGATTCCATTTAATGAAAGTGGAATTAAAGGAAAACTGAATTTATTTGTAGGTAAGTGGTTGACAGACAGTAATGCCCCCATTTTAATACGACCACGAATATCCCGAATCACCCTGAATAGGAATTTATTTTATTGCCGTAGATAAATCTCAATCATTTCTTGAAGTTCTTAAATGAATCTTATTTGATTCCGAAACATTCGTACAGTTCGCGGGAGTTCGTCGAATTTTGTTTGTCAAAAACTTGTGGAAGGGTCCCCGAATTGCAATTTCGTGGCTGTATCGTAATCCATTCGTAATTAATTCCTATGTTCCGTAACAGCTTCGCAATCGATTCTTTTGCATTATTGGCTATTCTTAGCGATTCGTGGCACCCAACATTACTTGTCCTCAACCGAAAACATCCCGAAACAGCCACGATTCTCCCGAGTCAACTAGGAACCATGTAAGAATTAAGTAAGAGCAACATTCGGCATAACAACAGAACAAGTATACCTAAAAAGCAACGAGATGAATCATTGTTCTGAGACCTGTATCACTTCGGGCTTTCCTCCCACATTAAGCTGACACGCCGCGATATAACTGGAATATTGTTAAAAGCGGCGTAAAACCCAACTCACTCCCTCACTCACTCGTCCTGCACAAGAATTGCCATAGTCTACGGAAGATCATATTTCCATATACAAATCCATGATCAGGATAGACGTATCGACATGATGAAACACATTGCAAGGAAGCGTTTTACTGTTTTATTCTACATAAATTCCTGTGATCATGAATACGTACATCTGTGTGAAACTAGTTTACCGTTACCATGCCATTGATACCAATTACATTTGATGAAAGTGGCATAAACAATAAAAAAACAACAACTGAATTTCTCTGTAGTTAGGTGATTGACAGACTTAATGACAATAGGACAATAAACATAAACAGCAACGAGATGAATCATTGTTCCCAAAGAGGGTCAAGTGCACTGAAATAGTGAGAGTCTGTAGCGTCCACCACACATCTGGCTGCTGTTGCCCTTACATGGAGCGTTGCAGTCCCCTTCGCTCATGACAGTATACTTCACGTTGTCATAGGAGTTTCCACAGAAGCATTCATCATGATTCTGAAAGAAAATGTGCGTTCTCGTATAATGCAAGTTACATTATTCTTGTCGATGAGATTCTTAGCGCCTAACTTCCTCTACATCGTCAATACGTTACTGGGTTGACAATGCCGCATGCCTTCATCCCCAGTGTATATATACGAGTGGACCGCCTCCGTGGTCTAGTGGTAGAGCGTCCGCCCGGAGAGCGGAAGGTCCGGAGTTCGATCCCCGGCCGCGTCATACCAAAAGACTTTAAAAGATGGTACTTGTTGCAACCCTGTCTGGCGCTCGGTATTAAGGGGCTAAAACAAGGACTGGCCGGCTCGGAGTCAGTATACTGAGTGGGGTATTCATGTTAAACTGCGGCATGGTATCTCAGTGAGCTAGCACTATAAATCGGCATCAGTCTGGACAAGTACAAGCAGCCACTAACACACACAAACGTGCATGCATGTCGCTATATAAGTGCAGTAATCTTGGACGCGACGCTAAACCCCATTTCACCTCACCTCACCTCACCTCACATACGAGTGATTTTCGGTGAAGGAATGATGTCTGTCTGTTATAAGTCAACAAATGAAATGAGTCCGTTCATAACTCGCAGACGTCCAATAAGACCGACTCCGTGCATTGACTTTGTAACATTGAAACTGCCCGTTGAAGCAATGCACTAGAAATATTGCTGTTTGTGGGATTTAACCTGTGTACTGATTGGCCTGAGCACTCGCTCATTTCACGATCGCTTGATTTTTTATATCTGTTTGTCGTTTAACGCCGCATACAGCAATATTCCAGCTATTTGACGGCGGTTGGTAAATAATCGAGTCTGAACCAGACAATCCAGTCATTGACATCATGAGCATCGACCCACGCAAATAATATACGATGACATGCATCAACCAAGTTACCGAGTCTGACCACCCGATCCCGTTATTCGCCTCTTACGACAAGCATAGTCGCCTTTTAGGGCAAGCATGGGATGCTGAAGACCTGTTCTACCCCGGATCTTCTACGCGTCCCGATCGCTTGAACAGGGTTGTCCTGTTTCGTTGGTTAAAGATAGGGACTGCACTGCAAAGCGGTCGTGTATATTCCTGGGTTATGAAGGAATGCAGGTTATACAAACCACTGAAGCACTGAAGATACTTCCGCTGACAGTGCTATGTCAAATAATCTTTCTGATGATATTTGCGACGTTGTTTAGTTCTATTTCAACCATTTAGCCATTGGATTTCAGTCTGGTGATTTACTTACCTCAAGTCCAGCAAGAAGATAGTTGCCCTGTCTGCAGCGAGTCAAGCACCATTCATGCGTCATGGAGTCGTTCACCTCACGTAATTCGTTGATCATTCTGTCCCTGTCATCCAGGAAGCATCCCGTATACACAGGACCTGAAACCAGATCAACATCCAATGTAGTTTAGGACTTCTTAGCGAAACATGGATTATCCAGTAATTGACATCATAATCATGGATCATGTCTGTCATTCGGCTCAGCTTTTGAAGAACGCATGCCTTAGTTTTGGTTGCGTTCAGCAGGTTGCTGACAAACCCAGACAGGCAATAAGCCAAGACGCAAAGCTAGGCAACCCCAGACAGACAACACGCCAAGACGCAAAGCCTGACAACCTCATCAGAAAGACAACAAGCCAGGACCCAAAGCCTGACAACCTCATCAGAAAGGCAATCGGCCAAGATGCAAGGCCTGACAACCCCAGACAGGCAATATACCAAGACGCAAAGCCTGACAACCCCAGACAGACAACAAGCCAAGACGCAAAGCCTTACATCCCAAGACAGACAATAAGCCAAGGCGCAAAGCCTTACATCCCGAGACAGGCAATAAGTCAAGGCGCAAAGCCTGACAACCCAAGGCAGGCAATAAGCCAAGACACAAAGCCTTACATCCCCAGACAGACAATAAGCCAAGACGCAAAGCCTTACATCCTCAGACAGACAATAAGCCAAGACGCAAAGCCTCACATCCCCAGACAGACAACAAGCCAAGACGCAAAGCCTGACAACCTCATCAGAAAGGCAATGAACCAAGACGCAAGGCCTGACAACCCAAGACAGGCAATATGCCAAGACGCAAAGCCTGACAACCCCAGACAGACAACAAGCCAGGACCCAAAGCCTGACAACCTCATCAGAAAGGCAATCAGCCAAGATGAAAGGCCTGACAACCCAAGACAGGCAATATGCCAAGACGCAAAGCCTGACAACCCCAGACAGACAACAAGCCAAGACGCAAAGCCTGACAACCTCATCAGAAAGGCAATAAGCCAATACGCAAAGCCTGACAACCCAAGGCAGGCAATAAGCCAAGACACAAAGCCTTACATCCCCAGACAGACAATAAGCCAAGACGCAAAGCCTTACATCCTCAGACAGACAATAAGCCAAGACGCAAAGCCTCACATCCCCAGACAGACAACAAGCCAAGACGCAAAGCCTGACAACCTCATCAGAAAGGCAATGAACCAAGACGCAAAGCCTGACAACCCAAGACAGGCAATATGCCAAGACGCAAAGCCTGACAACCCCAGACAGACAACAAGCCAGGACCCAAAGCCTGACAACCTCATCAGAAAGGCAATCAGCCAAGATGAAAGGCCTGACAACCCAAGACAGGCAATATGCCAAGACGCAAAGCCTGACAACCCCAGACAGACAACAAGCCAAGACGCAAAGCCTGACAACCTCATCAGAAAGGCAATAAGCCAATACGCAAAGCCTGACAACCCAAGGCAGGCAATAAGCCAAGACACAAAGCCTTACATCCCCAGACAGACAATAAGCCAAGACGCAAAGCCTTACATCCTCAGACAGACAATAAGCCAAGACGCAAAGCCTCACATCCCCAGACAGACAACAAGCCAAGACGCAAAGCCTGACAACCTCATCAGAAAGGCAATGAACCAAGACGCAAAGCCTGACAACCCAAGACAGGCAATATGCCAAGACGCAAAGCCTGACAACCCCAGACAGACAACAAGCCAGGACCCAAAGCCTGACAACCTCATCAGAAAGGCAATCAGCCAAGATGAAAGGCCTGACAACCCAAGACAGGCATAAGCCAAGACGCAAAGCCTTACAGCCCCAAACAGACAAAAAGCCAAGACGAAAAGCCTGACAACCCAAGACAGGCATAAGCCAAGACGCAAAGCCTTACATCCCCAGACAGGCAATAAGCAAAGACACAAAGCCTCACAACCTAGACATGCAATATGGCAAGGCGAAAACCTGACAACACAAGACAGGCAATAAGCCAAAACGCAAAGCCGAACAACCCCAGATAGACAATAAGCTAAGACGCAAAGCCTCAGAACCCCAGACACAGGCAATAAGCCACGACAGAAAACCTGACAACCCCCAGACAGGCAATAAGCCAAGACGCAAGACCTGACAACCAAAGGCAGGCAATAAGCCAAGACGCAAAGCCTTAGAACCCCAGACAGGCAATGAGCAAAGACACAAAGCTTGATAACCGCAGAAAGGCAAAAAGCCAAGACGCAAAGCCTGACATCCATGTCCTCTTCTTCTTCCTAAAAATCTATGCAATGTTAATTGTAATGAAATACACGTCCTGTATAGTATACACACGTCTCAATGGTTGATATGCGTCTTTTGTTTACTGTATTGTTATATTCTCTATGTTTCAATGAATACATCCAAACAGAAATGTCTACTGTGTTGTGGAGCACCAAACAGAAGATGACAAGACACAGATAACATAGTCTAATACACTGGGCCGGGTTATGTGCATGAGCAGGAGTAAATCCCTGTCAGGTCATTGGAGTGAACAGCAACAATCATTAACTACCAAGATGTGGCGTTGAGGTACCTACCATGCTTATACGATGTGTCTGTTGTAGTTTCAGATGTTGTGGTAACAGTCATCACTGCAGAAGCTGCATGTGTGGTAGTAGCAGGAGCTGCAGTTGTCGTTGTGGTTGCATCCATGTCTGTAGTCGTCACAGCCGTATCAGTGATGGCAGCAGTCGTAGTCTGTGTTACAGACCCTGATACAAATATATCAAATACAGCCCATGCAAGTCCATAATGTTTGGCAAATCTGAAGAGAGTTTCTGGGCTCCCTTTTATTATATTTTTACTAAGATAATTGAACAACTGTTTTTTTTACTGTACGATATGTTCATTTCAGAGACTAGGTGTTATATTCACTATGTTTCAATGAATACATCCAAACAGAAATGTCTACTGTGTTGTGGAGCACCAAACAGAAGATGACAAGACACAGATAACATAGTCTAATACACTGGGCCGGGCTATGTGCACGAGCAGGAGTAAATCCCTGTCAGGTCATTGGAGTTAACAGCAACAATCATTAACTACCAAGATGTGGCGTTGGGATACCTACCATGCTCATACGATGTGTCTGTTGTAGTTACAAATGTTGTGGTAACAGTCATCACTGCGGAACCTGCAAGTGTGGTACTAGCAGGAGCTGCAGTTGTCGTTGTGGTTGCATCCAGGTCTGTAGTCGTCACAGCCGTATCAGTGATGGCGGCAGTCGTAGTCTGTGATACAGACCCTGATACAAATATATCAAATACAGCCCATGCAAGTCCATAATGTTTGGCAAATCTGAAGAGAGTTTCTGGGCTCCCTTTTATTATATTTTTACTAAGATAATTGAACAACTGTTTTTTTTACTGTACGATATGTTCATTTCAGAGACTAGGTGTTAGTCTACAGCAGCCATGACACCCAGGGCTGTAGTCGCCACAGATAGCAGCAGAAGTAATCATCCCTGCTGTTGCAGAAGCTACAGTTGTGGTAGTGTTGGCATCCACAGTTGTAGTGGTAGAAGCAACTGACATATATGTGAAATCTAGGCTTACAAGTATGTTATATTTACATAGGGTTCAAGAGAGCGTTTGTGATCCACGCATGGAACATTAACACGGATTTTCAACATTGTTGATAATAGTTCAATCTGTCATCGCTGTTCTGATGTTGACACTGTTTCTGTGTCGATACTAGATATATTACAATTATGTATGTGTATCACTTGATAAAATCGGTATCTCAGACACACGAATGTCACAAATCTCAATAAATATGCTTCATTTTGTGTTTGATTGATTGCATTACGTTGGTCCTCCTCCCTTCATTAAGATTTCATACTTACTTAAATATGGTATCAAACGTAAAACAAGTCATACACCGCCCCAATGAATAAGTAAGGTCCATGTATGTTAAATGTTCAATTCACTTGGGTTTTTTACCTTTTAGGCGGAAATTAAATACATGTTCTTAAAAAGCAAACTCATTTCCCCCTACTGTTAAAATTAAATATACTCCGGGATATTCTCCCAAGACCAAGTTGTCCTCCTGTCGGTCGCGACGCGAGATTAAAGGCCTGAGTCGCTGTCAGACGTGAAGACAGAAACTGGTTATGTTAGAGGTGGTTTTGGCCATGTCCATGAAACCGATTTCGGCTTTGTGGCGATTGATACATCTGTGGGATGTAGTACCTTCTGTGTATTTTGATCAGGGATGAGGCATATTTAGTACTGACTAGGTCAATAGTATATTTACTATTAATGCTTAATGTTTTCGATTGTTTTTCTTATCTTGGTGTTAAAAAACCCTCAAACTTCAGTTTGGTTTCTCTTAGTCAATGCACCTTAATGTAATCGGTATGTCTGGTTATTTGACTTCTCACGAGTTTGTAATTTTGCATACGCTATTTGTTAAGGATCAAAACCGACTTGGAGGTCTTGACGGGAAATGTAAGCTCTGGGAGAAGGGAAATTAGTATTCATCGTATTCATTAATACGGTTCTAAGTTAATTTGACGGTTTATAAGTCAGATCAAAAGCTCCTTCTCGGTCTTGACGGGAAATGTAAGCCCTGGGAGGAGCGAAATTAGGGAGGGCGAACCGTCAAATTAACTTAGAACCGTATTAATGAATATCAATGATTCTCATATGACTGGTGTGTCTCGCTTTCATGAACGCTGTTTACGTGGCGATAATCAATCGCACAAACGCAACGCACGTGCATTTCCTGCACGAGCAGGTTATATCTCGGTCAAGTACACGTGGTTTCATTCACTTGTGTTGGAAAAATGGCCGGGGAAGGGGAAGACTTTTTTATTACAAAGTCCACATTTATCAGTGACTTTCCGAAAGTAATGCTCGTGATGCTGATAAAGATGATGTAGACGATTTTGCGTTTCGCTTTGGAGAGCCATTGTGTGAGCAGGAGATAGAAGAAAAATGTGCCATACAACAAGATTATACCGTGGTGAAGTTGATTAGCAAATTATCTGCGAAGTACATGTAACTGGTAGGTATAAATTTTAAAAAAATATATATATTAAGTAGAAAACACATTTCTCGGACATTTTTCGGAGAAATCAGTCTACATGGTATTTTATTATTTGGGATACTTGAAATTGCACGAAATGATCATTGGAACAATACAGGAAGCCGAAAAATCAATTTGTTTTATCAACTGTTCGTAAGGTATCACAATGGTGATGGAGACCTTTCACCTGCTATACATCGAGTGACCCTGATGACTGAAGATTTGCTGAAAACCGTTTAAATAAATCTGATAACCACGATATGACAACAAAATGATGTATGTTTTGAAATGTTCATAGTATTTTCCAAAAGCCTCTTATCTTATATACTCTAGCAAGCGGGTCAGATGAATATGTGTTATATCACTGTTTGAACATATGTTTCAGGGCATAGAAGTGATGCCGTACGTACGTATAAACGTACTTCAGACGAGCAAAGGAGGAACCTGTCGGACATCATTGTCAAAAAGAGGAAGCAGGATGTTAGCTCTGAGTCGACGCCGATTGTAACTGAAACGTCTAAGCCCGAGACTTCCTCCGAAAAAGATGAAATTGACATTGGTCGTCGTTTTGTACTCAATTTCACTTTTCATTAAACCCACTGTATAAGTGTTGCTTTCATTAATTTGCACTTTGAGGCATTTGGGAAACGAGGTTTGTCCCTAGGCCCATCTGCACAACACGATTGTAGTGCTATAACTATTTTAAACTTTTTAACTTGGGGGAAACTCAAACATTAGCACTAAAATCGCTTTACGCATCTGAAGCCAGATCTTGCCAGCAGAATGCCCAGGTGTTACCAGCAGAATGCCCGGGTCTTACAAGCAGTTCATTCTGCTGGTAAGACCCGGGCATTCTGCCGGTAAGACCCGGGAATTCTGCCGGTAAGACTTGTGGGAACGGTAGCGGAGTTTTCCTCTGCAAAGAAGACTGTCTGAACAATGGAGTGACGTCATCAAAGGTTTATAAGGACAATTATGAGTCATCTTCCTCGTGGGTGAGGTTTTACTTTAGAGGAGGTTACGAAACCAGGACACTTACCTTTGCATTTGCACGTAAATGTTTCCAACAATCTAACATAAAATTCATAAAATCAATATCGCGTCAATATGGATGTAACAATCGCCATAAACAAGCTTTGTTGTTTGTTTTATTGATTACTGTTATTGATAACATTTATTGATTACTGTTATATGTTACTGTTATTGTGGTAATTCAAATGAACTGTACATAAAGCGCCTCTGACCCGTGAAGATCCGGTGTATAATAGGTCTTCAGCAACCCATGCCTGCCGTAACAGGCGACTATGCTCGTCGTAAGAGGCGACTTACTTTAAAATGTGTGTGACATGGGCACGACGCTGCATTCCAAGGGAGATTTTTTCGTATTTATTATTTCACTTGTATCATATTTGTCTATTCTCAGTGTGATATGGCAACCTGGCCTCATCCATCAACATCTGCTACGGATGACAGATTCGTGTTTAACTGTTTATTTTTATCTAAATCTGAATATGTAATTGGGATTTCCACTGTATCCTACCTGCACATAGGACCCGTGAAGATCCGGGGTAGAATAAGTCTTCAGCAACCCATGCTTGCCGTAAAAGGTGACTATGCTTATCGTAAGAGGCGACTAACGGGATCGGGTGGTCAGACTCGCTGACTTGGTTGATGCATGTCATCGTATCCCAAATGCGTACATCGATGCTCATGATGTCACTGGACCAGACTCGATTATTTACAGACCGCCGTCTTAAGCTGGAATATTTCTGAGTGCGGCGTTAAGTAACAAACAAACAAACAAACAAGTAACCAAACGTGATAACTTCTTTCTTAATGCATTATCAGATGCTCAAAATTAACATTTGAATAAATAAGTTACTATTAAGTTTTTGTTTACCACACACCTCTGTGATATATAGTTTGGTTACAGGTATTTGAAATAAGAGTAAAGGGTGGCCTGATTGTTGTGATGATTACCTTCTAGAAAATGCCAGACCACATAGTGCCCAGGTCGTCACCGACGGGAAGGCATAAGGACATTGGACGGGCCCGCTAAGTCCTTTGTCCTCCTCACTTCATGAAGACTTCATTTTTAATGCAATACCAGATGATCAAAGTCTACTTTGAATAAATAAGTTACCATTCGATGTTTTTGCTAAGCACACTCCCATATCATATACAATGTGGTTATAAGTAAAGGACAGTTTGGATGATTACCTTCTAGAGGGAGGCAGACATGGCTGGAAGCTGCTTCTGCTGGAGCACAGACATAGGTGTCAGGACAAGGACGTCCTGAACACGGGTGACTCGGATCCTAAGAGAGAAGTATAGAGAAACGCATTAGAATCATATTCTAAGCCCACAATGATGAATCGACACATGCTACCTTACCAGGCTTGTGTTATAAATTAGGTTCAAGTCCATTATATTTTGAAGGAAGCGGTTTTGCTACAAAGAATACTCCAAAGTTCGTCCACCCCATACACATGCAACCAACCATGTTCAGCATGGAAAGGATGGATGAATAGGCGCCCAACACTCGATTGCTTGTCATAAGCGGGGACTATATTTCGAACGTGTGGTCAGGCTAATTGATTTGGTTTAATTTGTTGCGTGTTTTAGCACCCCTGCTGCGCGCACACTTCCTCCTTATATTAATCAACCACCTCCGACAGGTAGATGCATGTCATCATCCCAATTGCGTGCATCGATGTTCATGATATTAATCACTTGATTGTCTGGTCCAGACTTGATAATTTACAGACCGCCGTCAAATAGCTGGAATATTGATGTGTGCGGCGTAAAACAACAAACCAAACCAAACAAAATCGGACCCTAACGAAGAAGTATGTATTAGGATCATATCATATGCCCCAAATGATGCGTTGTCGTTTATTTAAATCATTGAACGTAAAAATACGAGAAAAAGGTTTGGTTGATTAGACCCTTAATGGGGAGATAAATATAATTAAGGGGTCAGCATACAGTTGTATGGATCCTGGTAACAAATTGTGTGTACATGATTTGTGTATTTGGGAATTACCAGAATGGTAATATACCTTAAAAAATGTGTGAGCAGACAGAATGTGATAGGATCACCTGACTGCACCATTACTTCCAACAAATCTACATACGTGAAGATCCGGGGTAGAATAGGACTTCAGCGAACCATGCTTTCCGCAGGAGGCGACTATCCTTGTCGTAAGAGCCGACTAACTGGATCGTGTGGTCAGGCTCGCTGATTTGGTTGATGCATGTCATCGATCCCAATTGCGTGGATAGATGCTCATGATGTCAATCACTGGATTGTCTCGTCCAGATTTCATTATTTACAGACCGCCGTCATATAGCTGGAATATTGCTGGGTGCGCGTTAACAACACACAAACAAACATACGGCACATTCTATTCATCATACTCACTGGGGGGTTCAACTTAATTGTATTTTTGAGAAAGCGATTATATTGATAACAAACAAGCTACTATCTACAATACTACCAACACAAACAGCCTACCGCCTACGAGGAATATTATTACTGCGCAGCTCTTTCTGCTCTATTTAACGATAAAGCGCTCATTTAGAACGCTACTTAGAACGCTGCCAAAACGAGGCTAAAATATATCATACATCATAGATTCAACACGTTGTTTGAGATGCGTTAAATCAAGTTGATGAAGTAGTGGGATTTCCACTGTGACACCACGTGATACTTACAGACCTTGCAAGGTGTAGGCATAGTTCGATGACTATCCTTCGAGGTCATTCTGCGTACAAGGCTGCCAGCCCGTGTGAGGATTCAGGCTCAGAAGTCGGGTTAGTGTATCATGCTTACCTTTGGAGTGCAGCCCCCGCCGTGATATTGCTAGAATATTGCTTAAAGTGGCGTAAAATGCAACTCACTCACTCACTTTCGAGTGAATCAAATGCACACCGACTTACGTTAAACCTCATCTCACTTCGTCTTATCCATCCTTTAAAGGTAACACTACACAGCGCACCATACTTACGTTCTCATCTACCTTAATACCATACTTTCACTCATGCTTGATGTGTCTTTCACCCTATCCTATCTACCCTCTTATCTACCATATCACCTTACTATCTTCAGGTAGCCTACAATGTCTGTCTTTCCCATCCTACCTATCTTCTTGTCTACCATATCACCTTACAATCTTCAGGTAACCTACAATGTCTATCTCTCCCATCCTATCTATATGGCACTCGTGAAGAGCAACCTCCTCGTGGTGAGTGCTGGGTAGCGCTAATAGCTCTTCCCCCGTGTGGAACCGGGGCTGAATAATTCCACAGCACCCCATTGCTGGTCGTATGAGGCGACCGAATTGGGCAACCTGTTTGCCGTGGGTTGCGCCCCTGTGTCGGCGGAGGACGGGATTCTGGTGGTTGAGGGCACTGGTTCCAGGAACAGTGTTCCTTTGCCCAATACAACACTTCGACCCTTACTTCGCCTAGACGGGAGGTAGGATGGGCCCGGTCCTATCAATCGGCTGGTCATGCCGAGCCCTGTGCATGGAAAAGTCGTTTTGTGATAATATCACATCACTCACTCAATAATATATAAATTGTTTTCTTAACATGATTGTATGCTTCACATTGCCTAGAGTCCAATGCCAGAAGGCGGTGGCTCATGGGCCAATCTGGGGATATGGACCGCTGAATTCTGTGTTTCTTTAGAAAAATGCTATGGGCCGAACCAGCCTGACATTTCTTCTTTTAGTAACGACAGCTATTTATGTCTCTGTTTCTGGAGTATAACATCCATGTAACCCTGGTGTTTCACAGGCTGGCTTCTACTGTAGCACCGTCCTTGTTGACACTCGATGGTGGGTGGGGAGCATGGATGCTGAATCATATTATTCCTACCATGTCTCAACCAAATTCTTCTGGTTCAACCAAAAACTACAAACGTCGACACGTTGATGCTTTGGCCTCTGATGAGGATATATCAAATGATGTTGTGGATTCGTGGCCAAGATTTGTTGTCATTGCTCCTGCTGTTGGCGACACACTAAAATTAAACCCTTTTGCGATCTCCAAGGGCATCCAAGGTGTCTGTGGAGACGTAAAGAATGTTACGCGCCTTCGGAATGGCTCAATCCTAGTTGAGTGTGCATGGAGGCACCAATCAGTTAACCTTCTGTCGTTACAGCAGTTTGTTAACACCAAGGTTGTTGTCTCGGCACACAAGACACTGAACTCTACACATGGAATTATCAGAGATCGTGCTCGTTGTCTGGCTGACATGAGCGAAGAGGAAATTACAGATGAATTGAGAAGTCAAGGTGTAACTGCTGTTAAGCGGTTTACAAGGAAACAACATGATGGAACTATAACAAAAATACATACTTATCTGTTCACTTTCTCTCTCACAGTTCTTCTAAAGTCTATTAAAGCAGGTTACTTCAACATCGGAGTGGAGGTATATGTACCTAATCCACTCCGGTGCTACAAATGCCAAAAGTTCGGACACGGTGCTAAGTTTTGCAATAAAAATGCAGCCTGCTTCCGCTGTGGTGGTGCTCATGACAGCTCAGACTGCACAGAAAACATCAAGTGTGCCAACTGTACCGGTGGGCACATGGCTTCCTCGAAATCTTGTCCATTATTTATCCAGGAGACTAAAATCTTAAAAATTAAACATACAGACAACATCTCGTACCTTGATGCTAAGAAGTTGGTTCCAACTGTATCTCAATCTCCATCCATAACATATTCAGCTGCGATTGCCTCCCCTGCTCTTGTACCCAAAGTCACAACTGTTTCAATCTCATGCCAAACAACTATCTCTTGGATAAAGCATGATCAGATACTCCTTGACGACCATTCTCAGACTTGTCAGCATGAGCCATTAAGATCATCCTCTTTTTCTCAGACAGACGCTCAGCCCATACCAGACAAACGAAATGAACCAGTGCAATCATATGACACTCAAGCAGTGGGCGAAGCCCACTTGACAAAAAAGGAAAAGAAATTACGTAGGGCCAGGGCACTCCAACATTTGGAGGTGCCTTCTCTTACAACCCCTGTAGAGGTTCATAATCCATATGAACCTTTGCAGATGGAGGTTACTCCCACTCTGCGTGCTCATGGGGATGGACCTCCTTCCCGTTCAAGGTCACCAGTTGAGCCGCCATGAGTGGCTCTCTTAATATTGTCCAATGGAATTGCAGAGGACTGCGGAATAATTTCAATGATTTGCAGTTATTAATTCAGGATTTTAAGCCATCAGCATTTTGCCTTCAAGAAACCTACTTAAAAAATACTGACCATATTGACATTAGACAGTACGTTTCACATCATTTCTTTTCTCCTCCAGGGCCTAAAGCTACTGGAGGGTCTTCAATCTTGGTGAGGCAGGGTGTGATTCACAGTCTTGTCCCTCTAAATACACCACTTCAAGCTGTTGCTGTCCGTTTAACTTTAAACATTGTTTTCACGTTATGTTCTCCATCTTCCACTCTTCATACCACTGATCTTCAAGCACTTTATGACCAGCTCCCCAAGCCATGTGTCATTATGGGAGATCTAAATGTACACAATCCACTTTGCGGTAGTGATGTTACTAACAGTAAAGGGAAGATATTGGAAGACTTTATTTCGAGCAATGATTTATGCATTTTTAACGACGACTCCAAAACATATTTACATCCTGGTACAGGCACCTATTCGTCTCTCGATTTATCACTCACAAACTCCGAACTGCTAAATGAGTTGGAATGGTCAGTCCATGACGACCTCTGTGGAAGTGACCATTTTCCAACTATTCTTCAAACAATAACTCCGTCTGATGTTCCTCCATCATCAAGATGGAACTTCACTAAAGCTGACTGGCCTTTGTTCGAGTTACTCTGTACAAGCAAATTAACTCCTGGTCTTTTTGTTGATGTTCCTGATTCAATAACAGTATTTTCTGATGTACTAATTAACATAGCTGATGAATGTATTCCTAAGTCCTCTGTAAATCCACACATCCGCAAACCATGATTTAATGATACTTGCAAACAAGCTAGGAAGGCACGGAAGAAGGCTGAAAAGTATTTCCGTCACCATCCTATGGTACATAATTTTTAAAAATTCAAGATTTTAAATGCTAAGGCACGACGTACATTTAAGCAAAATAAACGTGTATCTTGGCAAACTTACGTTTCGAAGATAAATTCAAGAACGCCCATTTCCAAGGTATGGAACATGATTAAAAAAATCAAAGGTAAGGGATCATCGTCTGGTATCCACCATCTTAAAAATGGGAATGAATTGTTAACAAATACCTCTGATATTGCTAATAAACTAGGTGAA